CTCTCGTCCCTAGCCTACAGCTACTCAGCTACTCTCTTCCCTAGCCTCCAGCTACTCAGCTACTCTCTTCCCTAGCCTACAGCTACTCAGCTACTCTCTTCCCTAGCCTACAGCTACTCAGCTACTCTCTTCCCTAGCCTACAGCTACTCAGCTACTCTCTTCCCTAGCCTACAGCTACTCAGCTACTCTCTTCCCTAGCCTACAGCTACTCATCTACTCTCTCCCTAGCCTACAGCTACTCAGCTACTCTCTTCCCTAGCCTACAGCTACTCAGCTACTCTCTTCCCTAGCCTACAGCTACTCAGCTACTCTCTTCCCTAGCCTACAGCTACTCAGCTACTCTCTTCCCTAGCCTACAGCTACTCAGCTACTCTCTTCCCTAGCCTACAGCTACTCAGCTACTCTCTTCCCTAGCCTACAGCTACTCAGCTACTCTCTTCCCTAGCCTACAGCTACTCAGCTACTCTTCCCTAGCCTACAGCTACTCAGCTACTCTCTTCCCTAGCCTACAGCTACTCAGCTACTTCTTCCCTAGCCTACAGCTACTCAGCTACTCTCTCCCTAGCCTACAGCTACTCAGCTACTCTCTTCCCTAGCCTACAGCTACTCAGCTACTCTCTTCCCTAGCCTACAGCTACTCAGCTACTCTCTTCCCTAGCCTACAGCTACTCAGCTACTCTCGTCCCTAGCCTACAGCTACTCAGCTACTCTCTTCCCTAGCCTCCAGCTACTCAGCTACTCTCTTCCCTAGCCTACAGCTACTCAGCTACTCTTCCCTAGCCTACAGCTACTCAGCTACTCTCTTCCCTAGCCTACAGCTACTCAGCTACTCTCTTCCCTAGCCTACAGCTACTCAGCTACTCTCTTCCCTAGCCTACAGCTACTCAGCTACTCTCGTCCCTAGCCTACAGCTACTCAGCTACTCTTCCCTAGCCTACAGCTACTCAGCTACTCTCTTCCCTAGCCTACAGCTACTCAGCTACTCTCTTCCCTAGCCTACAGCTACTCAGCTACTCTCTTCCCTAGCCTACAGCTACTCAGCTACTCTCTTCCCTAGCCTACAGCTACTCAGCTACTCTCGTCCCTAGCCTACAGCTACTCAAGCTACTCTCTTTCCCTAGCCTACAGCTACTCAGCTACTCTCTTCCCTAGCCTACAGCTACTCAGCTACTCTCTTCCCTAGCCTACAGCTACTCAGTACTCTTCCCTAGCCTACAGCTACTCAGCTACTCTCTTCCCTAGCCTACAGCTACTCAGCTACTCTCTTCCCTAGCCTACAGCTACTCAGCTACTCTCTTCCTAGCCTACAGCTACTCAGCTACTCTCTTCCCTAGCCTACAGCTACTCAGCTACTCTCTTCCTAGCCTACAGCTACTCAGCTACTCTCTTCCCTAGCCTACAGCTACTCAGCTACTCTCTTCCCTAGCCTACAGCTACTCAGCTACTCTCTTCCCTAGCCTACAGCTACTCAGCTACTCTCTTCCCTAGCCTACAGCTACTCAGCTACTCTCTTCCCTAGCCTACAGCTACTCAGCTACTCTCTTCCCTAGCCTACAGCTACTCAGCTACTCTCTTCCCTAGCCTACAGCTACTCAGCTACTCTCTTCCCTAGCCTACAGCTACTCAGCTCAGCTACTCTCTCCCTAGCCTACAGCTACTCAGCTACTCTCTTCCCTAGCCTACAGCTACTCAGCTACTCTCTTCCCTAGCCTCCAGCTACTCTGTTACTCTCGTCCCTAGCCTACAGCTACTCAGCTACTCTCTTCCCTAGCCTACAGCTACTCAGCTACTCTCTTCCCTAGCCTACAGCTACTCAGCTACTCTCTTCCCTAGCCTACAGCTACTCAGCTACTCTCTTCCCTAGCCTACAGCTACTCAGCTACTCTCTTCCCTAGCCTACAGCTACTCAGCCCACTCAGTTCCAGAGGGGCGGCATCCTTGAGGTTTGGGGGTCCAGGATCTCCGGCTCTCCTCCTTCAGCTTCTCCTCCGATCGACCCCTCCGCTCTCCGGGAGCCGTCTTATATCTCCCCTCTCTCTGAGGGGTGGGGGTGTCTCGGGCCCTGGCTCTCGCCAGCCCCCTCCCCTCAGAGCCGTTCCAACCACCTCTCGTCCCTGTCAATCCGGGCCGGTCCAGACCGGTACGTACCTCTCCCCTAGCTTGTGTGACCTGTGTCAACCTTGGTGTCAACCTTGACCACCACGCATGTAACACACTTGACAATAAAGTGACTTTAAGACTTTAAGACTTTAAGAAAGGGTTCATGACAACGCATGACAGCTCGTGACTGTGATCATGTTAACAGACAATGATTCGTATTCTTAGGTTTTTTCGGTAAAGTCACCGTGTAGGTAAAAACATCAAAATTAATGAAAATAAAATAAAATAAAACAAAAAATCACGACGTTTCGGAGGCAACACAAGTCTCCGTCATCTGGTGGGACCGTCACAGCCGGATTAGCTGTATCAAGTGAGGCAATTATTCAAGATGTAATCCCTTATAAGCAAGTTGAAGGGGGGGAGGAGAGGGGGGGGGCTCATCATTGGCTACCACATTCTGATGAGCTCCCCCCCCCCTCTCCTCCCCACCTTCAACTTGCTTATAAGGGATCACATCTTGAATCATTGCCTCACTTGATGCAGCTAATTCGGCTGTGACGGTCCCACCAGATGACGGAGACTTGTGTTGCCTCCGAAACGTCGTGATTTTTTGTTTTATTTATTTTATTTTCATTAATTTTGATGTTTTTACCTACACAGTGACTTTACCGAAAAAACCTAAGAATATGAATCCTTGCAGTCACGAAAGCTTCAAATCTAGAACTGACAAGGATGTGTGTGTGTGTGACGCGAATCAAACAACCACAACGACTTGCAGTAGCAGCAGCAGCAGCGGATTTGACAAGCGGCTGTAGACTATTATTTTGGATATTTGACAACAGGCCGCGAGTTATTTTGTAACAGGTCCCTGCGGGGTGGGCTGGTAGGAACGAATAAGCAAAGAATATAAACATAATGTATTATTACACTTGTTTAGCCAGGAAAGCCCCACTGAGTGTAAAGGTTTTTGAAGGTTCCTGCCAAGTGTTTGCAGTAGGGGGCGATGTTGCTACACCTAAACGGACGATACAACGGGAGAGATTGAGGCCTAGTTCTAGGCCTTAGGCCTAGCTGTAGGCTTTAGACCGCTGTGAGTTAATTTTTAATTTAAATGTTTTAATTGTTAATGTAAAAGCTTTAAATGTAAATGTTTCTATTTAAAAACATCAGGGAATGTAACATTGTTAAACATTAACTCCCTTTCACACACGCGGGGGTACGATACGAAGGGAGAGTTTGAGGCCTAGTTCTAGGCTTTAGGCCTAGCTGTAGGCTTTAGGCCGCTGTGAGTTAATTTTTAATTGAAATGTTTTAATAAAAAACTATCTCAAGGAATTATAAGGGAATGTTACACTTGTTTAGCCAGGAAAGCCTCACTGAGTCTAAAGGTTTTTGTAGGGTCCTGCCAAGTGTTTGCAGTAGGGGGCGATGTTGCTACACCGAATCGGACATCGGACAGACGATATAATCTATTGTAGGCTGGTTCACTTCGTTCCTACCAGTAAAACAAATTAATAAGCAGACAAACAATTGAGCAGATGTAGAACTCGTACTCGTGTTGTCTTTCTCGTCCCGTTTATTTTCTCCTCAAGGTCCACACCTTCTCCTCATCGCCGCTCCGTGGCCACCCGTTCGCCCCGCCACGCCATCCGCCATCAGCGGCGCTCTGTGTCCCTCCGCTCTCTCTCCAGCTCTCCCAGAGTCCTTCGCTCCGCTGCTACCCTGCTCCGTATCTTCTCTGATGCACTGCTGCCGCTGCTACCGCTGCTACCGCTGCTGCCGCTGCTGCCGCTGCTGCCGCTGCTACCCGCTGCTGCCGCTGCTGCCGCTGCTGCCGCTGCTGCCGCTGATGCCGCTGCTGCCGCTGCTGCCGCTGCTGCCGCTGCTGCCGCTGATGCCGCTGCTGCCGCTGCTGCCGCTGATGCCGCTGCTGCCGCTGCTGCCGCTGCTGCCGCTGCTGCCGCTGCTGCCGCTGATGCCGCTGCTGCCGCTGCTGCCGCTGCTGCCGCTGCTGCCGCTGCTGCCGCTGCTGCCGCTGCTGCCGCTGCTACCCGCTGCTGCCGCTGCTGCCGCTGCTGCCGCTGCTGCCGCTGATGCCGCTGCTGCCGCTGCTGCCGCTGCTGCCGCTGCTGCCGCTGCTGCCGCTGCTACCCGCTGCTGCCGCTGCTGCCGCTGCTGCCGCTGCTGCCGCTGCTGCCGCTGATGCCGCTGCTGCCGCTGCTGCCGCTGCTGCCGCTGCTGCCGCTGCTGCCGCTGATGCCGCTGCTGCCCCTGCTGCCGCTGCTGTCACTGCTACTACCACTGCTGCCGCTGCTGCCACTGCTGCCACTCCTACCGAAAGAACCAAGAAGAAGAAAACAGTTTTGCCATTTTGATTTAAAGCTTTCTTGACTTAACTCATTAACTCATTGGCACGTTTCGATGTAAAGCTGCTTTCGTGACTGCAGGGATTCATCTTCTTGGTTCTTTCGGTAAAGTCACCACGTAGAAGGGAAGTAATAAAATAATAAAAATAAAACATAATAAAATTATTCTCACGACGTTTCGGCCACAACGCAAGCAGCCGTCCTCAGGTGAAAACCAGGTCCGTCGAGGCGACAGAGTCTGACTCTGTGAGAATAATTTTATTATGTTTTATTTTTATTATTTTATTACTTCCCTTCTACGTGATGACTTTACCGAAAGAACCAAGAAGAAGAAAACAGTTTTGCCATGTTTGGTGGTCATCAAATACTGATTTGACCCTGTAATGGATGTGCGTTTAGTGTCAGGGCAGACTTGGGAGCTCATTGTGTGCAGATGCGGGATCTGATGGAGGGTGGAATTCTTTTCCAATTCTGTGTAGCGGCATCAACGGTGTTGGCCACGATGACATCTTGATCTTTGACCTTCTTTACAGGTGACGCTCATCTCAAGCTGTCGAGAGTACAAAGACATCGCACTCCGCGTCAATGAAAAGAAAGCCCTGAACACATTGAACGTGGCCAAAAAGCACATCATACGGTAACAATCGGTGACACATCGCAAAATAAACATTAGCATCGTCGTAAAGAATGGGGGAAAATAATAAGCGTACAATATGCCTCTTTCACATACAGTGAGGGAAAAATTTAACCCGTAAAAACAAAGTTTTTCACTATAAATCCTTTATATGCGTGGCGGCTAGAGTCCTCTCGTCCTCTGGCTTGAGATGGCTGCCACCTATGAGTCAGATGATTGTCTGCCACCATTAAGCAATTGGCAATTAAATATGATTAATTTTTTCCTAAAAAGTGTAAAATTTAGGAAAAAAATTTCACGAAAATAAATTGTCACGCACAACGAGTCTGTGTGGAAAATGTCAGCTCGATTGGATCACGGGAAGTGGGTTAAAAAACGACCGAAAGATTTGCACGGTCCTAAGCAAGCAAGCAAGCACGCAAGTGAACTTAATATAAAGGATTTAAAAAGTATTTGATCCCCTGCTGATGTAGTACGTTTGCCCGCTGACAAAGAAATGATCAGTCTGTAATGTTAACGGTAGGTTTATTTGAACAGTGAGAGACAGAATAACAACACAAAAATCCCGAAAAACGCATGTCAAAAATGTTATAAAGTGATTTTCATTTTAATGAGGGAAATAAGTATTTGACCCCCTCTCAATCAGAAAGATTTCTGGCTCCCAGGTGTCTTTTATACAGGCAACGAGCTGAGATTAGGAGCACACTCTTAAAGGGAGTGCTCCTAATCTCAGCTTGTTACCTGTATAAAAGACACCTGTTCACAGAAGCAATCAATCAATCAGATTCCAAACTCTCCAAATAAACCCACCATTAAAATTACAGACTGATCATTTCTTTGTCAGCGGGCAAACGTACAAAATCATCAGGGGATCAAAGACTTTTTTCCCTCCTCACTGTAACAAGCTGAGATTAGGAGCACTCCCTTTAAGAGTGTGCTCCTAATCTCAGCCCCTTACCTGTATAAAAGACACCTGGGAGCCAGAAATCTTTCTGATTGAGAGGGGGTCAAATACTCATTTCCCTCATTAAAATGCAAATCAATTTATAACATTTTTGACATGCGTTTATCTGGATTTTGTTGTTGTTATTCTGTCTCTCACTGTTCAAATAAACCTACCGTTAAAATTACAGACTCATCATTTCTTTGTCAGCGGGCAAACGTACTACATCAGCAGGGGATCAAATACTTTTTTCAAATCAATTTATAACATTTTTGACATGCGTTTCTCTGGAGTTTGTTGTTGTTATTCTGTCTCTCACTGTTCAAATAAACCTAGCGTTAAAATTATAGACTGATCATTTCTTTGTCAGTGGGCAAACGTACTACATCAGCAGGGGATCAAATACTTTTCCCCCCCTCACTGTATCTGTCCATCCACATGAAATAATGCAGACACGTGACACTTCCTATCAGCCGCCACGTGGAGTTGTGGGAGTGCATCATCTCAGCAGACTTGGTTCCACGCAACCAAACTCTGGACTGGTGTTGACATTTCGTGTCTCATCAGCAGTCACTTTTGTTTAAACCAATGTAGGTGAATTGCCATTTGTAAATATACAATTATACATAATGTGTGTTGGCAAAGTTACATTACAATAAATTGCAATTTTGAAATGGTATATTTGGTCAGTTTGAAGAATGTTAGGTATTTTTAAAAATCATTTATATTAAGTTCACTTGCTTGCTTGCTTGCGCGCTTATGACCATGCAAATCTTTCGGTCGTTTTTTAACCCACTTCCCGTGATCCAATCGAGCTGACATTTTGCACACAGACTCGTTGTGCGAGACAATTAATGTTCGTGAAATTTTTTTTCCAAAATTTTACACTGTTTAGGGAAAACATATTAAATATTTAATTACCAATTGCTTAATACTGGCAGACAATCATCTGACCCATAGGTGGCAGCCATCTCAAGCCAGAGGACGAGAGGACTCTAGCCGCCAGGCATATAAAGGATTTATAGTGAAAAACTTTGTTTTTACGGGTTATACTTATTTTAAATCCTTTATATTAAGTTCACTTGCTTGCTTACGACCGTGCAAATCTTTCGGTCGTTTTTTAACCCACTTCCCGTGATCCTATCGAGCTGACATTTTGCGCACAGACTCGTTGTGCGTGACAATTTATTTTCGTGAAAATTTTTTTCCAAAATTTTCCACTTTTTAGGGAATTTTTTTTCATATTTAATTTAAATACCAATGTGATAAAAATGAAACTCTTACTAAAAAAAAAACAGAAATGAATAATAAAATAAAACCGATGCCACGCATATAAAGGATTTATAGTGAAAAACTTTGTTTTACGGGTTAATTTTTTAAGATCCTGTGTTAATGTCATTACATCTTTGGAATCAAAATCCAGAACCAACCCTACTGGAATTATGTTGAAAGTTTCATATCAAATGTTTTATCGTCTAAATTGTTTATTAAAATTAATTTAAACAAAAGGTTTCTCGGATGGTGAAACATCAGGTGAGAAAACATTTACATATTTGAGACAATAGTAGTTGTTAATGTATTACGTATTTCAAAATATTGTATGGATAAACGAATGGGGTTTAAGTCGGTATGAGCACATGTTTAGTGTATATTGTATATTGGGTGTGTATTAGTTATTTGTATAAACCATTATGAGTGAGTCTGAATGCTTATATCATTTCAGATTTCCAATGCCCGGTAAAATAAAAACCAGTGAAATGAAAATCAACTGGTAGGTACAGCTATGGTTTCAATGGTCCTGTTAAGATAGCACATGCGTTTACATTTGGAGTTGGTTATGAACTTTATTTCTCGTTAGCAACACAATTTCGTGTTTAGACCTTCTTGGTTCTTTCGGTAAAGTCACGTAGAAGGGAAGTAATAAAATAATAAAACATAATAAAATAAAATAATTCTCACGACGTTTCGGCTACAACGCAAGCGGCCGAAACGTCGTGAGAATTATTCTATTATGTTTTATTTTTATTATTTTATTACTTCCCTTCTACATGATGACTTTACCGAAAGAACCAAGAAGATGAATCCCTGCAGTCACGAAAAAAGCTTTAAATCGAAAAATTCGTGCTTAGAGTTTTAACGTTCTACACATTTGCAGATTATTATACATTTTAATTGGAGAGCCTTCAAGATGTATTGACACTCACTTTAACACTCGAAACTGCGTCTATATTGCAACAAAAAGTGTGTTCAAGTGGAGAATTCTGCTTTGCTACACAATTGAAATGATGCTTTGTTTGTAGTCTCATTCAAGCTCAGCTGGGATGTGTCCTCGTGCAAGATTTTGCGTTGATACAGGACACTGCGAAAATCTTCAGGACTGGAATCAGACTTACAAAATGTCAGTTTCAACTGCACCATTAAAACAAATGCACTTTGTTTCCGGAGCTAACGTTTAAAAGCACGGCAGTATTTATATCTATCTTCTCCAACCATTATATATACGGAGTGGTAGCTCTTGCAATCTCTCATGTACTTGATACGGCTGTCGTGGCTGTGACGGTTCCACCTGAAGATGGAAGCTTGCGTTGCCTCCGAAACGTCGTGATTTTTATTTTATTTTACTATTTTATGTTTTTTACCTACACGGTGACTTTACCTAAGAATATGAATCATTGCAGTCACGAAAGCTTCAAATCTAGAAGTATTAATATCTGTTGTAACTCCGTTTTGCGTTTGTAGGTCTCGCCGAATTTTTGCAACAAAAGGATAAACGGAATAACTTCCAGGCCGTGCTGAATGCAGTCCAACTCACGAAATGTTTTCGTGCAAAGCTTTGGGAGAATTCACCTTCCGTTTTAAAACAACTTGAAAAAATCGGTAAATGATCGTCCCTTTTACGTATAAAAGCAATACGTACGCAATGATTGACAACCACGAAATTCTATTCAGAAGACCCTTCAATTAGACGCGACTTAACCTCGGTGTGTTTCTGCTGTAGGCTTCTCAATGTCCAGCGCACTGGTCAACGCTGGATTGACATCTTTTGAGAAAATTGCAAACACTCATGGGCGGGAAATTGAGTTGGTGAGATCATGGGTTCATCGTCTTGGTTCTTTCGGTAAAGTCGTCACGTAGAAGGGAAATAATAAAATAATAAAAATAAAACATTATAAAATAATTCTCACGACGTTTCGGGCCACAACGCAATTTGAATAGTAAGGAGCTGCAGATGAATCTGAAGATGAATGCCTGCAGTCACGAAAGCTTTAAATCGAAATGTGTCAACAGCGCAAAAGGCGTACAGCTCACAGACTATTCTGCGCTATCAAAGTAACGAGGGCTCGGGGTGAGCATCTACATCATTAGACCTCCTCTGGTCTGGCACCAATTGAGGCGAGGCTCAAAAGAAAGCCGTCTCTGGGGTGGACCAATCGGTTCCAAGGGCAATGCATCATATTATCAGAGTGTGTGTTTTTGTTTGCATGTTGACCACAAGCAGGGGCGGTTTCTTCATTAGGGCGATTGGGCGACGCACCACCAATGTCATTGAACCACAGAGTCACGCTAGCCGTCACTGTCAGCCTCTGGATATAGTCCAATCAGCGTAATGTCACGTTCTGTGGAGTACCGCCTCTTTTTGGGCGATTTCACTCCGGCTGAGAATCGCCCCGAGTGGCCCCATAGACTTGCATTCAAAGATGTTCTTTTCGAACGGGGGCGCTGCAAAGCATTCTCTACGGCTTCCGGGAGGGCTCGCCCTAACGTGCTTACGTCATCATACGTAAGCCACCTAGTGGAATCTTTAATAAAAGAAACTGAGTGGATTGTAATAATAGTGAGTTTAGAAACAAACAAGATGTATTGTAAGAGTCACTTTATTTGTCATTAATATTAAAGAAGTGAAGTTGCCTTTACATGCTTAAGCTGTTAATTTATCCATTGCATGGGTGGAGCTTATCCTTATCAATCATCCAGACATTTGCCCCCCCTGGGAGATTTTGCAGGAGCCGCCACTGACCACAAGTATTGTGGTGAATGCACCACGTGATTCCTCGTAAAAAGGTTTCAGTTTTGTTGCCAGAAAAAAGGGGGAAACACTTTTATTATAATTATAACGCATTATAATCGTCAGCCTTCCTTAATAATAGTAACACCAGCCAATAACGAGTGCATTTCTTGTTTGTAAACAACATCATTGGAACCTCATTTGCCAGTAAAAATATGATAATTGTTTTTTTACCCTTCTATCTGGCAACAAAACTGACACCTTTTTTTTACTCCTTGTCAAAAAAAAGGTGTCCGTTTTGTTGCCAGATAGAAGGGTAAAACACCAATTATGTAAACAACATTTCAACAAAACTCAAATGATGTTTTTGCTGGTGGTGTATTCCTGCATTGTGCAGATAGTGAACAGACACCCTCCATTTGGGAACCAGATGAAAGACGCCGTTCAGCATCTTCCCAAGTACCAAGTCAGCATGGTGCAGGTAGATGAGTCTGAGCCCTCATCATACGTAAGCACGTTTCAGTCAACAATATTATTTGTCGCCACCTAGTGGAATCTTTAATAAAAGAAACTGAGTGGATTGTAATAATAGTGAGTATAGAAACAAGATGTATTGTAAGAGTCACTTTATTTGTCATTAATATTAAAGAAGTGAAGTTGCCTTTACCTGCTTAAGCTGTTAATGTATCCATTGCATGGGTGGAGCTTATCCTTATCAATCATCCAGACATTTGCCCCCCCTGAGAGATTGTGCAGGAGCCGCCACTGCTGCTGACTACAGTGGGGCAAGTGGCCGTTGGCTTTTAGAATGTTGCTACATCTTCTTGGTTCTTTCGGTAAAGTCACGTAGAAGGGAAATAATAAAATAATAAAAATAAAACTTAATAAATAATAATTCTCACGACGTTTCGGCCACAACGCAAGCAGCCGTCCTCAGGTGAAGAACAGGTCTGTCGGAAAGACAGCGTCTGAAGCAGACAGACCTGTTCTCCACCTGAGGACGGCTGCTTGCGTTGTGGCCGTAACGTCGTGAGAATTGTATTTTATTGTGTTTTATTTTTATGACTTTATTATTTCCCTTCTACGTGACTTTACCGAAAGAACCAAGAAGATGAATCTCTGCAGTCACGAAAGCTTTAAATCGACATGTTGCTACAATTTTTCTGTGTTTTGTTAAGTGTTTTTTCCCGAGGTTTTAAATGAAGAAATCGACTAATTAACTTTTATCTTCACCTTAGTAAAAGTCAATTTCATATTCTTAGGTTTTTTCGGTAAAGTCACGTAGGTAAAAAATTAAAATTAATAAAAGTAAAATAAAAATAAAATAAAAATCACGACGTTTCAGAGGCAACACAAGCCTCCGTTTCCACCTGAAGACGGAGTTTTGTGTTGCCTCCGAAACGTCGTGATTTCCATTTTATTTTTATTTTTATTAATTCCAATTTTTTTACCTACGTGACTTTACCAAAAAAACCTAAGATTATAAATCCGTGCAGTCACGAAAGCTTCAAATCTAGAAAAGTCAATTTAATTTCATGGCTTGCTAAGCTTTGCCTATCATCAATTCAGAATAGCGCTGGTTGCTGTTTGTCCCCCCAGGGTCACCGGCACTACAAGGCTGTGGCTGAGGTGATGATCACAGTGGTTCTGAAGAACTTTGCGGAGCTGCAGTCCCAGCGCACAGCTCCGGACAGCCACATCTGCACGCTGCTGATGGGCAACTCCGACAACAACCTCGTCCACCGGCAAATCATCACGTGCGCTCACATTCCACATCGCAGTAATTGTGACAAGGCCACGTGTGTTTGATGTTGAATATGTAATAACACGCTGGAGACGGCTTGTAGAATCGGTCCTTTTATTTCACTTTCTTTGCAGTTCACAAACACTCCCCGTTGCTGGCAGGCAACGGGAAGCGGGCAGACAGCCACCAGAGGCACACCACCACGTGGCACCCGGAGCCCCACTCGCGCGTGGCCTCTCCCCCTCTCTTAGTTCTGTGTTTGACCCCGTGTCTCTCCTCTCTCCCCTTATTTAACGCCTGGGTCACGTGGTACCCTCCAGCCAATCCTCAATAGCCTGCGCCGAATGTTCCAGATCCCCCATCAACTCCCGGGACCACGCCCCTGACTTGTCTTCCCATTGGCTGAGGCCAAGACCAGCAGAACCAATCACCTAGATTCCCCATCAACTCCCGGGACCACGCCCCTGACTTGTCTTCCCATTGGCTGAGGCCAAGACCAGCGAAACCAATCACCTAGCTGACATCCCGTGATCACGCCGTGGCCATGCTCCCAGGCTCTTCCCCCATTGGCTGTAAAGCGGGACCGGCCAAGTCGATCACCATGTGAATCTGACATAGGCTCTTATTACAAATAGAACAAAATCTTCATTAGCCTGATCATTTGAGAGGCAGACATCGCACCTGCTTGCTTTGACATTCCTCAAAGACACCGGTGAACCATCGACCGCATCACAACATCAACAGGGCAATGTGCTATCAACAACAAGGCAACTCCTACGACTAATTGGGAATGGGACACAAGCGTAGGATTGATCGCCCTGTCGCTGGCCGCCTTTGGGGAGAGTGTATCGTGTGAAAGGCCGAAACACCCTAGGAACCAAAGGTTCACTACTGACGATGCGCTCCCCAAATGTCACCAGGCTCACTGTTCGTGAACTCTTGGAAGTGCTTGCACAAAGGATAGTAACATCTCATCCTGTGTTCTTTGGAATCAGTGCGACGAGTGGCCATGTAACCCAAACTATGGAGCAGAAGTAAACCCCTGTGGCCTGCTCGCCTTCAAGTAGAACAGCTACGCAAACTCGCTCCTTAAGCTCTCGTGGCTATCAGATCTCGACATGGCATTTAGCTCCTCCTGAACATGCGGCAATATAAAGGAATAGAACACAACAATAATTAGCATCATATTCAAGTCAATGTAACACAATACACGAGCAGGGATTACGCCTCGTTCCTATACGTCAACAACATTGTTCCTCTTCTTGGTTCTTTCGGTAAAGTCACGTAGAAGGGAAGTAATAAAATAATAAAAATAAAACATAATAAAATAATTCTCACGACGTTTCGGCCACAACGCAAGCAGCCGTCCTCAGGTGAAGAACAGGTCTGTCGAGGCGACCTGCAGTCCCAGCGCAGACTCTGAGGACGGCTGCTTGCGTTGTGGCCGAAACGTCGTGAGAATTATTTTATTATGTTTTATTTTTATTATTTTATTACTTCCATTCTACGTGATGACTTTACCGAAAGAACCAATAAGATGAATCCCTGCAGTCACGAAAGCTTTAAATCGAAACATTGTTCCTAGAAACAAATATTCAAATTTTAAATGCACTTGTTACTGGCGAAATTAATAACAATCGCCCGTTTATTGATAGGGCCTTTTCATCCGGGGTGTCTATGAACGCAGTGAGCGACTGACGTCACGCTCAGACACATTTAAATGGGCACCCCCAGTGGCAACTGCCCCTGTGGACACAAGGAGATTCAGAAGCCGGCCTGCACTTGGGCATGAGGTTGCCAGTCGGGGGGGGGGGGGGGAATGGTTCATATTCTTAGGTTTTTTCGGTAAAGTCACGTAGGTAAAACATTTAAATTAAAATAGTTGCTGTGTGTACTTCCAATTGAGTAAGTTTTGGGTATTTTTATTTTATTTGTCAACGAGTAGAACTGGTCTACTCGTATTCTTAGGTTTATTCGGTAAAGTCACGTAGGTAAAACATTAAAAAAGTAAAATAAAATAAAAATCACGACATTTCGGAGGCAACACAAGCTTCCGTCTTCAGGTGGAACCGTCACAGCCACGACAGCTGCATCAAGTAATGAGAGATTGCAAGAGCTACCACTCCGTTTATATAATGGTTTGGAGAAGGTGGTGGGGCAATGGCCGCATACTTTTTATCAATATGGTAAGGTGAGGCTTGAGAGGGTGAGCCTTTGTTACGGAGAGGCACTAGAATGTTCTACTCGTTGTGAATGTCAGAAATCTTGAACGTCGGGTGCAACACGGCGCACACATTTCATCACTGAGATACCTACGGCAATAGCAAGTTATGGAAGCTACGCGTACACCCATGTGACCTTCGCAGAGACGACATGCTGCTGAGAACGGGGAGTTGGATGAAGAAGCTGGAAGTTGTTCGGCCGGAAAAAAGTGACAAGCTCGACATCCACCTTCTCAGCTCGACGTACGGTACGTCCCAGGGCTGCCAACTCGTCCACAGACTACACTAGGTCATCGTTCTCAGTCAGCCTTGGTCAGGAGTCAGTTTCAGAGCCGCATGCAGCTGTCCACAGACTACACCAGGACATCGTTCTCAGTCAGCCTTGGTCAGGAGTCAGTTTCGGAGCCGCATGCAGCTGTCCACAGACTACACCAGGTCATCGTTCTCAGTCAGCCTTGGTCAGGAGTCAGCTTCAGAGCCGCATGCAGCTGTCCACAGACTACACCAGGTCATCGTTCTCAGTCAGCCTTGGTCAGGAGTCAGTTTCCTAGTCGCATGCAGCTGTCCACAGACTACACCAGGTCATCGTTCTCAGTCAGCCTTGGTCAGGAGTCAGTTTCCTAGCCGCATGCAGCTGTCCACAGACTACACCAGGTCATCGTTCTCAGTCAGCCTTGGTCAGGAGTCAGTTTCCTAGTCGCATGCAGCTGTCCACAGACTACACCAGGTCATCGTTCTCAGTCAGCCTTGGTCAGGAGTCAGTTTCCTAGCCGCATGCAGCTGTCCACAGACTACACCAGGTCATCGTTCTCAGTCAGCCTTGGTCAGGAGTCAGCTTCAGAGCCGCATGCAGCTGTCCACAGACTACACCAGGTCATCGTTCTCAGTCAGCCTTGGTCAGGAGTCAGTTTCAGAGCCGCATGCAGCTGTCCACAGACTACACCAGGTCATCGTTCTCAGTCAGCCTTGGTCAGGAGTCAGTTTCCTAGTCGCATGCAGCTGTCCACAGACTACACCAGGTCATCGTTCTCAGTCAGCCTTGGTCAGGAGTCAGTTTCCTAGCCGCATGCAGCTTTCCACAGACTACACCAGGTCATCGTTCTCAGTCAGCCTTGGTCAGGAGTCAGTTTCCTAGCCGCATGCAGCTGTCCACAGACTACACCAGGACATCGTTCTCAGTCAGCCTTGGTCAGGAGTCAGCTTCCTAGCCGCATGCAGCTTTCCACAGACTACAGCAGGACACAGTTCTCAGTCAGCCTTGGTCAGGAGTCAGTTTCGGAGCCGCATGCAGCTTTCCACAGACTACACCAGGTCATCGTTCTCAGTCAGCCTTGGTCAGGAGTCAGTTTCAGAGCCGCTTGCAGCTGTCCACAGACTACACCAGGTCATCGTTCTCAGTCAGCCTTGGTCAGGAGTCAGCTTCGGAGACGCATGCAGCTGTCCACAGACTGCACCAGGTCATCGTTCTCAGTCAGCCTTGGTCAGGAGTCAGTTTCCTAGCCCCATGCAGCTGTCCACAGACTACACCAGGACATCGTTCTCAGTCAGCCTTGGTCAGGAGTCAGCTTCAGAGACACATGCAGCTTTCCACAGACTACACCAGGACATCGTTCTCAGTCAGCCTTGGTCAGGAGTCAGCTTCCTAGCCGCATGCAGCTGTCCACAGACTACACCAGGTCATCGTTCTCAGTCAGCCTTGGTCAGGAGTCAGCTTCAGAGCCGCATGCAGCTTTCCACAGACTACACCAGGTCATCGTTCTCAGTCAGCCTTGGTCAGGAGTCAGTTTCAGAGACGCATGCAGCTGTCCACAGACTGCTGCATGGCGTCACGTATGTGCGTACAGTATTCACATGCACCCGGGGAGGGGGGGTAACTGATAGGCTCTGCCGGCCTCAGCCCTCAGCCAATGGGACGGCGAGCCAGGGGCGTGGCTCTGGGGTTGCATAGCAACATCTGGAAGGTTCCAGGGGAGAGGCTGAGGATTGGCTGGGGGTGTCACGTGGGCCAGGGGATATGAGGAGTGGAGAGAGACAGTTTGAGGTCAGTGCAGAGGTCGCCAACGGGTTTTGACTCCTTACCCCTCGTACCCGTACCTGGCCGCACCAGGGTCGCAAACGGGTACCCGTACCCTACCCGTACCCAGCCGGGTATCGGGTAGGGTACGGGTATCGGGTGCCCGATTGCGACCTCTGGGATGAAGCCATGTTGCAGGCGCGGGTGGGTTGATTCTAGGAACTTGAATTGTGAGAAGAGACAAGACGTTGGGAAATGAGTGACAAACGGTGACTCACCAGTGACTCACGGTCTACCCGTACCCGGCCGCACTAGGGTCGCAAACGGGTACCCGTACCCGGCCGGGTACCGTCACACCCCTTGTGTGTTGGGGACTGCGCCTCGTAACGAAGTTTATTCGTCAATAATTACAACACTACACTGTTTTGAAATTGATCTGGGATTACGTTGAGAGCCAGCGGAGGGATGTGAGTGTTGTGGCGATGTTTTGTTGACGGATGTGGACGAGAAGCCTGCCAGGGGCATCTTGGCTCATGTGGAGTTTGAGGATGTGAGGAGGAGATGTGAAGGTGTGGAAGGCAGCTGGGGTAAGGAAATCGGTGGGCGTGGGAAATGTGCAGGTGGAGGTATGAGAGTTTCCTCCAGAGTTGGTAGTAGCAAGAGAACTCGTGCTCAGGATCCGTTACGACTGCAAGGTTTCTCACACTCTTTGTGCGTTTGGCTGAAAAAATAAACAAGTGGTGAAGATGATTGAAACTTTAAAATTAATAAAAGTAAAATAAAATAAAAATCACGGCGTTTCGGGGGCAACACAAGCTTCCGTCTTCAGGTGGAACCGTCACAGCCACGACAGCCGTATCAAGTAAATGAGAGATTGCAAGAGCTACCACACTTTTTATTAAACCAACCATTATATATACGGAGTGGTAGCTCTTGTAATCTCTCATTTGCTTGATACAGCCTTTGGGGAGGGTGTATAGTATGAAAGGCCGAAACACCCTAGAAACCAAAGGTTCACTACTGACGATGCGCTCCCCAAATGTCACCAGGCTCACTGTTTATGAACTCTTGGAAGTGCTTGCACAAAGGATAGTAACATCTCATCCTGTGTTCTTTGGAATCTGAAAAAGCTGTCGTGGCTGTGACGGTTCCACCTGAAGACGGAAGCTTGTGTTGCCTCCGAAACGTCGTGAATTTTATTTTTTTATTTTATTAATGTTTTACCTACACGGTGACTTTACCGAAACAACCTAAGAATATGAATCCTTGCAGTCACAAAAGCTTCAAATCTAGAATGATTGAAGCTATGGTGGTAAAAATGTGCTTTTCATGCTTTTCCCAGTTGGTATGGACATCCATCAGAGCTTCACTCCATCCTACTCGAGCCCACGCACCCCTGGGCTCTATGGGAATGAGAGGCATCTGCAGGCCCAGTCCCTGCATGCTGCTACCTGTGAGAAACCAAAGACGTCTGTCTCAGCAGCAGGAGCAGCAGCAGCACAAGCAGCCGGCAATGGTTTGTGTCGCCTCGTTTCTACATGCATTTTAGATCAATTGGTTTATTTCCACCGTATGCATTCGATCCCATAGAATCAATTCAGAATGCACCATCTCATATTTACAACACTGATATAATCCTTAAATTGTGCAATTTTTAACACCAACTCATGCTGTGGCAAGTGTGAAGCAATATACACAGGGGACGTTCAGTGTGGTGCATTCTATTTTGTTGTGGAGTTGACCTGTACACATACAACTTTACTGCAAAGATAATCTCTTGTGTGCTAACAAGTTCCAAACTGACACAGTGGCCATTGACCCCCCCTCCCTCCCCTCTTCCTTGAGATGCCGAAAATTAATATTTTATTCTCAGAGAAAATACTTTAACTATATATATTTTTCTTCTTGGTTCTTTCGGTAAAGTCACGTAGAAGGGAAATAATAAAATAATAAAAATACAACATAATAAAATACAATTCTCACGACGTTTCGGCCACAACGCAAGCAGCCGTCTTCAGGTGAAGAACAGGTCTGTCGGGAAGACAGCGTCTGAATGAAAAGTTCATTCAGACGCTGTCTTTCCGACAGACCTTTTCATTCAGACGCTATCTCCTCGACAGCCCTGTTCTTCACCTGAAGACGGCTGCTTGCGTTGTGACCGAAACGTCGTGAGAATTGTATTTTATTATGTTTTATTTGCATTATTTTATTATTTCCCTTCTACGTGACTTTACCGAAAGAACCAAGAAGATGAATCCCTGCAGTCACGAAAGCTTTAAATCGAAATATATATTGTATACGACTTTAGGGATCCAATTGTAAAGTTCAGGACTGTCCCCACCCACCCACCCTCCTTGGAACATTTTCAGACATACTTCTGCACACGAGAGTATTTTACATATCTCAACTCTTCACTCGACCTAAACTATGCTGAAAGTAATGTTCATTAAAGTTCAGCATTTGATCGTATGAGTCACGTAATGTGTAATGTGTCGTTATAAAATACGTTTACAGTGAAGCAACTTGCTGGCTTGGATGAATCCAAGAGAGGCTGTCTTCATAACTGCAAAAACAAACAATCGTGTGGGCACGAGTGCTGTGAGTACCTTCATCACGATGAAACATACTTACAAACAGGGGCGGTTTCTTCATTAGGGCGATTGGGCGACGCACCACCAATGTCATTCAACCACAGAGTCACGCTAGCCGTCACTGTGCCTCTGGATATAGTCCAATCAGCGTCATGTCACGTTCTGTGGAGTACCGCCTCTTTTTGGGCGATTTCACTCCGGCTGAGAATCGCCCCGAGTGTTCCCATAGACTTACATTCAAAGATGTTTTTTTTCGACCGGGGGGCGCTGCAAAGCATTCTCTACGGCTTCAGGGAGGGCTCGCCCTAACGTGCTTACGTCATCATACGTAAGCACGTTTCATCCAACAATATAATTTGTCGCCACCTAGTGGAATCTTTAATAAAAGAAACTTGAGTGGATTGTTTTAATAGTGAGTATATAAACAAACAAGATGTATTGTAAGAGTCACTTTATTTTTCATTAATATTAAAGAAGTGAAGTTGCCTTTACATGCTTAAGCTGTTAATGTATCCATTGCATGGGTGGAGCTTATCCTTATCAATCATCCACACATTTGCCCCCCCTGAGAGATTTTGCAGGAGCCGCCACTGCTTACACAATTGTTACTACAACACCCGATTGTGATTATGTTGGGTTGCGTATCTTATCATGTTTCATCAAACGAGGACCGATACACTTCTGCTCATGTGCCAGCATTGATTCAAGCAAATCTGACTTCGCTGATGAGACACTGAACGGAAACAACTGGTGCAGCGTTTGATTGTATTGAACACATTTTGCTGTAATGATGCACTCCCAGAATGGAGGTTTCGGCAGATGGGATGTACACAATGACTTTAATGTTCGATTTAAAGCTGTTTAAAGCTTTCGGCTGTTCTTCGGACGCTGTCTTTCCGACAGCGCTGTTCTTCACCTGAGGACGGCTGCTTGCGTTGTGGCCAAAACGTCGTGAGAATTTTATTTACGAAGTTTTATTTTTATTCTTTTATTATTTCCCTTCTACGTGACTTTACCAAAAGAACCATGAAAATGACTTTAATGTTCACGCAGAGGGACAGACACGGATTGCGTACCGTGTGTGCGTATTGATGTTGTTTGCAGGCTGGTAATGGCGTGTGTAAAGTGATGCGATTTGACACGATTCGATTCACGACGGCATTCTTTTTGTCAAGTTTCTGCTGCGTCATCCGCACGGTTTGTGTCTCGCACTTTCTGTCCGTGCGGTGTCGTTTTCAACGTTAGCCAGAACGAGACATTTGCATCTAATTTTCATCAATCGAACTCAATCGTCGATAATTCTCTCATGGTACAATTTGTTGCCTGTATCATAGGCCTAATAAATAACTAACTATACTTTAGTTTTCTACGTTGTTGTTTAGTAACTGCAGCTACATACTATTAACATTCTTTTCCTTTGTTAATGCTACTGCACCCCCCTTGGTGCTGTTGATCCTGCATAATGCATGGGCATAATATGACTATGAAACCCCCCCCCCCACCCACCTCCTACGCATTTCCCATGAATATGCTAAATTCCTCTTGATATGCACATTCTTTTGGTTAAGGCGCTCTTGCACCTCCAACGCAGCGTATATATTAGCTCCTAGCTTGGAAATGTCTCATTCTTCACCTGAGGACGGCTGCTTGCGTTGTGGCCGAAACGTCGTGAGAATTATTTTATTTTATTATGTTTTATTTTTATTATTTTATTGCTTCCCTTCTACGTGACTTTACCGAAAGAACCAAGAAGATGAACTCGTAGAGTCTTTGTTGTGCTGCTCAAATGAGCATTCAAGGCGATGCTCATTTCCTGATGACGGCCGTGGTCCAGTAAGTGCTGATTCTACATCGTGCTGTGGTGGGGTGAGTCTGATTCACGTAGGTAAAAAATTTAAATAAATTAAATCACGACGTTTCGGAGGCAACACAAGCATCCGCCTTCAGGTGGAACCGTCACATCAAAATGACCGCGTCAGTAATTTATTGTATTTAATTTCTCACCTACGTGATTTTGCCGACAAAAAACAGTATGAATCCTTGCAGTCACGAAAACTTCAAATCTAGAATTGATTCACATGAGTCTGATTCTGTTGTGTTCCCCACAACTTGATACACATTTTACTGACCCTGAAGAATGTCGTAGGCTGAACCAACCCGCCCACTAGGATCTGAACTCGGATCCTTCCAACTGTAATGAGAATATATCCGGCTCACTGACGTATCACAACTCATCATGGGGATTGGTTCTGCTGACTTTGGCCTCAGCCAATGGGGAGACGAGTCAGGGGCGTGGCTCTGACGTCATGGAAAGGTGACAGCTGCAAGTAGATGATTGGTTCTGCTGGCTTTGGCCTCAGCCAATGGGTGGACGAGTCAGGGGCGTGGTTCTGACGTCATGGGAAGGTGATATCTGCAAGTAGATGATTGGTTCTGCTGGCTTTGGCCTCAGCCAATGGGGAGACGAGTCAGGGGCGTGGCTCTGACGTCATGGGAAGGTGACAGCTGCAAGTAGATGATTGGTTCTGCTGGCTTTGGCCTCAGCCAATGGGTGGACGAGTTAGGGGCGTGGCCCTGACGTGATGGTAACAGCTGCAAGTAGATGATTGGTTCTGCTGGCTTTGGCCTCAACCAATGGGGAGACGAGTCAGGGGCGTGGCCCGGACGTGATGGAAGGGTGACAGCTGTAAGGATTGGTTCTGCTGGCTTTGGCCTCAGCCAATGGGTGGACGAGTTAGGGGCGTGGCCCTGACGTCATGGTGGCAGCTGCAAGTAGATGATTGGTTCTGCTGGCTTTGGCCTCAGCCAATGGGGAGACGAGTCAGGGGCGTGGTCCTGACGTGATGGTAACATCTGCAAGTAGATGATTGGTTCTGCTGGCTTTGGCCTCAGCCAATGGGGAGACGAGTCAGGGGCGTGGTCCCGGGAGCTAACGAGGGAGCCTGGAAGATTCCATGGAGGCTAACGAGGATTGGCAGAAGCGTACCACGTGACCCGGGTGCTAAGTAGGGGTGGAGAGAAACGACACGTGGTCAGAACGGGAACCAACGGAGGAAGGGGCCACGTGGGAGCGGGGCTCCGAGTTGCCACGTGGCCGTGAGTCTCTCTCGGTCCGTCTGTCCACTACACGTTGCCTATCAGCAGCGTCAAGTAGCTGTAACATATTCTTAGGTTTTTTCGGTAAAGTCACGTAGGTAAAAAAAACATTAAAAAGTAAAATAAAATAATGTTTTTTTACCTACACGTGACTTTACCGAGAAAACCTAAGAATATGAATCCTTGTAGTCACGAAAGCTTCAAATCTAGAAGTAGCTGTAACCTAAAGTGAATTAAAGACGGATTCCAGAAGTCGTCTCAAAGAGCTTTATTACACAACTGTGAGCGGCTCACCGGTAATGTGAAAGCGTCTGGTGAGTGCAGTGTTGTTGTTGTTGTTGCTACTCGCCTCTAAGCGCTTGTGCAGCCTGGTGAGTGCAGTGTTGTTGTTGTTGTTGCTACTCGCCTCTAAGCGCTTGTGCAGCCTGGTGAGTGCTGTGTTGTTGTTGTTGTTGCTACTCGCCTCTAAGCGCTGGTGCAGCCTGGTGAGTGCAGTGTTGTTGTTGTTGTTGCTACTCGCCTCTAAGCGCTTGTGCAGCCTGGTGAGTGCAGTGTTGTTGTTGTTGTTGCTACTCGCCTCTAAGCGCTGGTGCTGTCTGGTGAGTGCAGTGTTGTTGTTGTTGTTGTTGCTACTCGCCTCTAAGCGCTTGTGCAGCCTGGTGAGTGCAGTGTTGTTGTTGTTGTTGTTGCTACTCGCCTCTAAGCGCTTGTGCAGCCTGGTGAGTGCAGTGTTGTTGTTGTTGTTGTTGCTACTCGCCTCTAAGCGCTGGTGCAGCCTGGTGAGTGCAGTGTTGTTGTTGTTGTTGCTACTCGCCTCTAAGCGCTGGTGCTGCCTGGTGAGTGCAGTGTTGTTGTTGTTGTTGCTACTCGCCTCTAAGCGCTGGTGCTGCCTGGTGAGTGCAGTGTTGTTGTTGTTGCTACTCGCCTCTAAGCGCTTGTGCAGCCTGGTGAGTGCAGTGTTGTTGTTGTTGTTGTTGCTACTCGCCTCTAAGCGCTGGTGCTGTCTGGTGAGTGCAGTGTTGTTGTTGTTGTTGCTACTCGCCTCTAAGCGCTTGTGCAGCCTGGTGAGTGCTGTGTTGTTGTTGTTGTTGCTACTCGCCTCTAAGCGCTGGTGCAGCCTGGTGAGTGCAGTGTTGTTGTTGTTGTTGCTACTCGCCTCTAAGCGCTTGTGCAGCCTGGTGAGTGCAGTGTTGTTGTTGTTGTTGTTACTCGCCTCTAAGCGCTGGTGCAGCCTGGTGAGTGCAGTGTTGTTGTTGTTGTTGCTACTCGCCTCTAAGCGCTGGTGCAGCCTGGTGAGTGCAGTGTTGTTGTTGTTGTTGCTACTCGCCTCTAAGCGCTGGTGCAGCCTGGTGAGTGCAGTGTTGTTGTTGTTGTTGCTACTCGCCTCTAAGCGCTTGTGCAGCCTGGTGAGTGCTGTGTTGTTGTTGTTGTTGCTACTCGCCTCTAAGCGCTGGTGCAGCCTGGTGAGTGCTGTGTTGTTGTTGTTGTTGCTACTCGCCTCTAAGCGCTGGTGCTGTCTGGTGAGTGCAGTGTTGTTGTTGTTGCTACTCGCCTCTAAGCGCTTGTGCTGTCTGGTGAGTGCAGTGTTGTTGTTGTTGTTGTTGCTACTCGCCTCTAAGCGCTGGTGCAGCCTGGTGAGTGCAGTGTTGTTGTTGTTGCTACTCGCCTCTAAGCGCTTGTGCTGTCTGGTGAGTGCAGTGTTGTTGTTGTTGTTGTTGCTACTCGCCTCTAAGCGCTTGTGCAGCCTGGTGAGTGCAGTGTTGTTGTTGCTGCTACTCGCCTCTAAGCGCTTGTGCAGCCTGGTGAGTGCAGTGTTGTTGTTGTTGTCGCTACTCGCCTCTAAGCGCTTGTGCAGCCTGGTGAGTGCAGTGTTGTTGTTGTTGTTGTTACTCGCCTCTAAGCGCTGGTGCAGCCTGGTGAGTGCAGTGTTGTTGTTGTTGTTGCTACTCGCCTCTAAGCGCTGGTGCAGCCTGGTGAGTGCAGTGTTGTTGTTGTTGTTGCTACTCGCCTCTAAGCGCTGGTGCAGCCTGGTGAGTGCAGTGTTGTTGTTGTTGTTGCTACTCGCCTCTAAGCGCTGGTGCAGCCTGGTGAGTGCAGTGTTGTTGTTGTTGTTGCTACTCGCCTCTAAGCGCTTGTGCAGCCTGGTGAGTGCAGTGTTGTTGTTGTTGCTACTCGCCTCTAAGCGCTTGTGCAGCCTGGTGAGTGCAGTGTTGTTGTTGTTGTTGCTACTCGCCTCTAAGCGCTTGTGCAGCCTGGTGAGTGCAGTGTTGTTGTTGTTGTTGTTGTCGCCTCTAAGCGCTTGTGCAGCCTGGTGAGTGCTGTGTTGTTGTTGTTGTTGTCGCCTCTAAGCGCTTGTGTCGCGCCGTTTTAACTTCTAGGCAAAGGAAATGTGGCCAGGTCAACGCCGCTGGCGCCTAGCACCTCGAGCGCTCACGTGCGGAGCTACTTGAGTGAACTCAAAAGCAAGAGCGTGAGTCTAACCGGCGTTCCAGATAACAAAAGGCTCAAGGTACGAGTGGAAATGTTGCGGTGAAACATCGCGCACTTCTACAGCCCTCACAGCTGTTACCGCGGTGGTGCTCGTACTGCGCCTCGTGTAGTTTTGTGTAAATTGGCATGCACGTAGCGAAACACGCGTACGCAAACATTTAGAACTGATAAAGTCACGTAGAAGGGAAATAATGAAGTAATAGAAATACAACTTTATTAAAATAAAATTCTCTTCTATGTGACTTTCCCAAAAGAACCAAGAAGATGAATCCCTGCAGTCACGAAAGAAGCTTTAAATCGAAATTTAACATGCCAATGTTGTAATAATTGTCATTTTATTGGAAACAAAACGTTTCAGATTGTGTTTGCGTCCAGCACTATAATTGTAAACCCTCAATATACCTGAAGCATCTTCTTAGTTCTTTCGGTAAAGTCACGTAGAAGGGAAGTAATAAAATAATAAAAAAAATAAAACATAATAAAATAAAATAATTCTCACGACGTTTCGGCTACAACGCAAGCAGCCGTCTTCAGGTGAAGAATGAGACAATGCCAAGCTAGGAGCTTATATATAAGCTGCGTTGGAGGTGGAGGAAAGAGCGCCTTAACAAAAGAATGTGCATATGAAGAGGAGTTTAGCATATTCATGGGAAATGCGTAGGAGGTGGGTGGGGGGGTTTCAAAGTCATATTATGCCCATGCATTATGCAGGATCAACAGCACCAAGGGGGGGTGCAGGGATTAGCAGTAACAAAGGAAAGGAATGTTAATGATATGTAGCTGCAGTTACTCAACCACCACGTAGAAAACTAAAGTATAAACTACATAAAAAACTAAAGTATAAATAGCATAGCACCATCAGTATACTTACTATACTCTACACTAAGCTGAGTTACTAACAGCAAGTAATACATTACAATTCTACGTCGTAAAAATTATATAATATGCTTCCATCTAAACTTTATTCTATTGCATCTATTACCTGAAGCATGTTGTGAGCATCCTGTTGCTGTGCCTTGTGCTGAGTGCATTCATAGGTTTGCTCTATAAAGGGGGGAATCTCAGTGAACATATCCAAGTTTGCTTACGCCCCGAAGCCTCAGTGTGGACCGCATGACGACAGGTACGTTTGACAGTAAATTAAGTGTGCTGAATATTTAAAATGCAAACGGTGATTCATACATTTTAATCATGCTGAGTCATACAGCGTTAAGGTGTGTTGTGCTTGTATAGGCATGGCGAGGCTTGACATTTTAAACGCGTGTGTCTTTATTGCAGATGCAGTGGCCCTTCTGAGCTGCTGTCGCCTCAAGGCGAATTGGGTAATGTGGTTGTGTCTGTAGATGATGGCTGTGTGCTCAACTTAAAATGCTACAATCTTAATTTTGGAGCTTTCGTGACTGCAGGAGTTATTCTTTGGTTCTTTCGGTAAAGTCACGTATAACGATAAAGTAATAAATTAAATAATAGCATACTACGACGTTTCGATTGCAACACAAGCAATCATCGTCAGGTATAAAAGGAATAGCAACAAAAATCTAACCATAAAACTATAGACAGACATATAAGCAGACAGATATCACCAAGATACACAGAGAGAGAACACGCATCGGTACAAAGAGAGAGATCGTCTCTGTGACGAGGCCTTAAATAGAGAGAGGGGGGGGGGCGGGGGCGGAGAGAGGGAGGGGGCAGAGAAAAAATTAGCATGTCAATGAGTAGACGACAAAGTGGTACGGTACAAGCAAGCTTGAAAATTAGGAGAAAGACACACTCAAATTAAATAACCTAGCAAAATATCGAAATGTAATGTAATGCAACACAGAGAGTCGGTCAACACACAACGCATAGCCTGGTCGATTACGTATTTCAAAGATTGCTAATCTTCTTGGTTCTTTCGGTAAAGTCACGTAGAAGGGAAGTAATAAAATAATAAAAATAAAACATAATAAAATTATTCTCACGACGTTTCGGCCACAACGCAAGCAGCCGTCCTCAGGTGAAAACCAGGTCCGTCGAGGCGACAGAGTCTGAAAGATTGCTAAGTTAGAATTTAAGTGTGAAAATTCCAAAGAGAGGACACAGGCAGAGAGAGAAAACAAAAAACCAGAGAGAGAGAAAAAGATAAACTTAAAACTTCCCCGTAGAAGTTGTTCAATTTTAATTTTGTAGCTTTCCGTGACTGCTACACTTATCATGTTGATAACTCTGTGTCGTCTGAGCTCTTAGCCTACTAAAACAATGACGACAATTCATCGCGATGTTTTATGGAAGTCAGTTTGAACGTTTGTTAAAATAAATGAAATAACCCCATGTGATTTGTAAAAACAAGTATAATCACTCTTTGTGCCCTCACTGTTTGGGCTGCCCTGTATATTGATGCACTCTGGATAGGGATACACATTTTACACGGCGCAATGTACAGCAAGAACTTCTAGATTTGAAGCTTTCGTAACTGCAATGATTCATATTCTTAGGTTTGTTTCGGTAAAGTCACGTAGGTAAAACATTAAAATTAATTAAAGATAAATAAAAATATAATAAAAATTACTTTTATTAATTTAAATGTTTTACCTACGTGACTTTACCGAAAACAAACCTAAGAATACAGCAAGAAGCTTTGTAATGCCGCTCGACGAAACATGGTGGTGTGTGTGTGTGTGCAGCTGTGACTGCTGGTGACAAGAGTGTGGATGACACGTCGGGGTCCAGAGAGTTGCCAAGGGGGGTGGACAAACTCCGATCTCCCTTGAGCGTCGCTCATATTCCGGTTCCAGCATTTCAACATCAAGACGACAGTCGGTGCGTCTCTCTCTCTGATCACCGCTCTCAGCACGCACATTCTACATGCAAACATTAGTCAGCGACATCATCCGAAATGAATTTAGATTCAAAGCTTCTTTCGTGACTGCAGCAAGGATTCATCTTCTTGGTTCTTTCGGTAAAGTCATCACGTAGAAGGGAAATAATACAATAATACAAATACTAGTATATTATTTGATTTTATAATTGTATCATATAAAAATTATTTTATTATATAAGTATATTATTTTATTATGTTTAATTTTTATTATTGTATTATTTCCCTTCCACCAAGAAGATGAATCCTAATTGACAATCGCAGCGATATCAACAATTTCTGTTACTCTTAAAATGGTATTTGGATTTTTGGATTTAAAAAAATACTATACGAACACCGTATCAAGCAACTTGCTTTTGTGTAACCCACAGATCTCTTTCCTATCTGTAAGGTGGCCGAAAACAATGACACTTAGTGAGGAATTGTAATAATGATGTACAGATCTAAATGTGGCGGTAATGTGGTCCAGTGGTACCGCGTTCGCCACTTGTTGCAAAGATCAGTGGTTAGCATCCAGCAGACCACCCTGGTTATAACTACGGCCTGTATTAACAATAACATACTATGCGTTGTCTGCTTCACTGTGACCACGTGAAGTCATTCGAAGAGTAGGTCATTGTGTGCCAGCGGAATGGTCAAAACTTCGTGCAAATTACTAAATTTCAAACAAAGCGATCGTCACCCCTTCTGCAAAAATGTAGCAAGGCCTTCCTGAAACGGTCGATATTAAGTGAGGATGTTCTGGGTAATCAAGTGTAATGTAAACAAATGAATTGGGATTCTTGGTTCTTTCGGTAAAGTCACGTAGAGGGGAAATAATAAAATCCAGAGGTGGGACAAAGTCATTGTTATGCAAGTCCAAGTCGAGTCTGAAGTCATCAAATTCATGACTCGAGTCTGACTCGAGTCCAAGTCACATGACTCGAGTCCACACCAGCTCAGAGGTGGGACAAAGTCATTGTTATGCAAGTCCAAGTCGAGTCTGAAGTCATCAAATTCATGACTCGAGTCTGACTCGAGTCCAAGTCACATGACTCGAGTCCACACCAGCTCAGAGGTGGGACAAAGTCATTGTTATGCAAGTCCAAGTCGAGTCTGAAGTCATCAAATTCATGACTCGAGTCTGACTCGAGTCCAAGTCACATGACTCGAGTCCACACCAGCTCAGAGGTGGGACAAAGTCATTGTTATGCAAGTCCAAGTCGAGTCTGAAGTCATCAAATTCATGACTCGAGTCTGACTCGAGTCCAAGTCACATGACTCGAGTCCACACCAGCTCAGAGGTGGGACAAAGTCATTGTTATGCAAGTCCAAGTCGAGTCTGAAGTCATCAAATTCATGACTCGAGTCTGACTCAAGTCCAAGTCACATGACTCGAGTCCACACCTCAGAGGTGGGACAAAGTCATTGTTATGCAAGTCCAAGTGGAGTCTGAAGTCATCAAATTCATGACTCGAGTCTGACTCGAGTCCAAGTCACATGACTCGAGTCCACACCAGCTCAGAGGTGGGACAAAGTCATTGTTATGCAAGTCCAAGTCGAGTCTGAAGTCATCAAATTCATGACTCGAGTCTGACTCGAGTCCAAGTCACATGACTCGAGTCCACACCAGCTCAGAGGTGGGACAAAGTCATTGTTATGCAAGTCCAAGTGGAGTCTGAAGTCATCAAATTCATGACTCGAGTCTGACTCGAGTCCAAGTCACATGACTCGAGTCCACACCAGCTCAGAGGTGGGACAAAGTCATTGTTATGCAAGTCCAAGTCGAGTCTGAAGTCATCAAATTCATGACTCGAGTCTGACTCGAGTCCAAGTCACATGACTCGAGTCCACACCAGCTCAGAGGTGGGACAAAGTCATTGTTATGCAAGTCCAAGTGGAGTCTGAAGTCATCAAATTCATGACTCGAGTCTGACTCGAGTCCAAGTCACATGACTCGAGTCCACACCAGCTCAGAGGTGGGACAAAGTCATTGTTATGCAAGTCCAAGTCGAGTCTGAAGTCATCAAATTCATGACTCGAGTCTGACTCGAGTCCAAGTCACATGACTCGAGTCCACACCAGCTCAGAGGTGGGACAAAGTCATTGTTATGCAAGTCCAAGTCGAGTCTGAAGTCATCAAATTCATGACTCGAGTCTGACTCGAGTCCAAGTCACATGACTCGAGTCCACACCAGCTCAGAGGTGGGACAAAGTCATTGTTATGCAAGTCCAAGTCGAGTCTGAAGTCATCAAATTCATGACTCGAGTCTGACTCGAGTCCAAGTCACATGACTCGAGTCCACACCTCAGATAAAATCATATAAATATAAAACAATAAAAAATTCTCACGACGTTTCGACTGCAACACAAGCAATCATCATCAGGTGTGAAAGCCACCGCATTAATTTTTTAATTTTTTTATTTTCTTGCCGTGGATTTCACACCTGATGATGATTGCTTGTGTTGCAGTCGAAACGTCGTGAGAAATGTTATTATTTTATATTTATATTATTTTATTATCTTCCTTCTACGTGACTTTACCGACAGAGACAAGAATATGAATCCCTGCAGTCACGAAAGAAGCTTTAAATCGAAATTAATTGGTGTTAGTTAATAGTACGGAGGTAAATTTCGATTTAAAGCTTTTTTCGTGACTGCATGGATTCATCTTCTTGGTTCTTTCGGTAAAGTCACGTAGAAGGGAAGTAATAAAATAATAAAAATAAAACATAATAAAATAAAATAATATAATAAAATAATATAATAATTATTTTATTTTGTTATGTTTTATTTTTATTATTTTATTACTTCCCTTCTACGTGACTTTACCGAAAGAACCAATAAGATGAGTACGTAGGTAGTTCGCCAATACGACGACTAAATAGTGTTAATTCTAGATTTGAAGCTTTCGTGATTGCAAGGATTCATATTCTTAGGTTTTTTCGGTAAAGTCACGTAGATAAAACATTAAAATTAAGCCTCGCCTTACCATATGAATAAAAAGTGTGCTGTACTTGGCCCTTACCCCCCCCCCTCTCCAACCATTATATAAACGGAGTGGTAGCTCTTGCAATCTCTCATCTACTTGATACGGCTGTCGTGGCTGTGACGGTTCCACCTGAAGACGGAAGCTTGTGTTGCCTCCGAAACGTCGTGATTTTTATTTTATTTTACTTTCATTAATTTCAATGTTTTTACCTACACGGTGACTTTACCGAAAAAACCTAAGAATATGAATACTAAATAGTGGCCACATTCCGGTTGTGCAGAGTCGACAAGAGGGATGACAGCCGTAAGAAGAGATCTTACGACGACAGAAGCTCAGGACTTGATGTGCAGTGGAATCTTCCGGAGCGGCGTGTTCGAGCCGCCGTTCTGCCTTGTGTCGCACGGGCCAGTCAACCTCTGCCGACGAATTCCGAGCGGGTAAAATTGCATCACAGACTTGACACGGAAATGCAAACGCCACATTTGATGTGCACGTTCGGTAAGGACACGATGAACCGCGATCGCACGCGCGCTCTGAGGTTCAGTTCCAAATACGGCATTGCTGATTATGATTATTTGTAGAATTGAACAACAGTTAGCTCCTGATCACTCTGTGCCTTATCTGCTGTGACTACTCTCAGCTTGAACCTCAACCGTTGATTTCTACAACACATGTTGAGCGCTCGGTTTACCGGACTGTTTCATCTGATCCACGCTCTTCCACCGCTGGCCACAACAACTCTCTTCTTGTTTATTTATTATCAGAGGTCGCAACCGGGTACCCGATACCCGTACCCTACCCGATACCCGGCTACCCGTACCCAGTCGGGTACGGGTACGGGTAGGCCGTGAGTCACTGGTGAGTCACCGTTTGTCACTCATTTCCCAACGTCTTGTCTCTTCTCACAATTCAAGTTCCTAGAATCAACCCACCCGCGCCTGCAACGTGGCTTCATCCCAGAGGTCGCAATCGGGTACCTGATACCCGTACCCTACCCGTACCCAGCTGGGTACGGGTAGCCGGGTATCGGGTAGGGTACGGGTTCCCGTTTACGACCCTGGTGCGGCTGGGTACGGGTAAGGAATCAAAACCCGTTTGCGACCTCTGTTTCTTATTCCCTCGCTTGGAGAAGTCTGCTGGTGTCAACGGCTGTCGCCACGATGACTTCTTGTTTTTGACGCGATCGTGATTGGAGGATGATGTTTAAGCTCTTGCCTTTGTTTCACATCCCAGGTGGCATGCGCTGAGAAATCATGCGGCGGTTCCAAAAGTCGCATGTTCTTGTCTCCAAGCTCCACTTGGTGAGAGAAACCAGCGCTTTCATCAACGGCCCGAAACACGAGTGCAGCGTTGTCGTACTTAACTTGCTTATACGGCACCTGCCCCAGCGCTCGTGTTTTTTTCCCCCCGCTCGTTGTAAAGGTCTCGGGGTTAGAATCTAGCGGACTGTCCTGGATGTGATAATTGTTTTTTTACCCTTTTTTTGGCAACAAAACTGACACTTTTTTTTCAGTTTTGTTGCCAGACAAAAGGGTAAAAAAACAATTATCATATTTTTTCTTCTCGCAAATGAGATCGCAAAAATAGAAATGTGTCGTTAAACCCGCCACCACCCGACACGGCCAACTGGTAAGGTTGGTCACGTGAACAGAACGTGGCCAATTCGTCACCAGTGCAGCACTAGCCGGTGTGTGGGAGAGAAAATCCTCAACATCTACAATCTGTGATAATTGTTTTTTATCCTTCTATCTGGCAACAAAACTGACACCTTGTTTACAAGGAGTCATGTTTGCATAGACCACAATACATGCAGTCATAATGCAAACAAAAAACATAACTCTGATAATGTGCACTACAATCTGAGTACGACGTTTCGCCCAGTGATCACAACCATCATCATCAGGCGGACAGCAGACAGATCGGTGCATTTGCTCTGCTACACAATTGTGGGCTGAAGCATTAACTCATTGGCACGTTTCGATGTAAAGCTTTCGTGACTGCAGGGATTCATCTTCTTGGGTCTTTCGGTAAAGTCACGTAGAAGGGAAGTAATAAAATAATAAAAATAAAACATAATGAAATAATTCTCACGACGTTTCGGCCACAACGCAAGCAGCCGTCCTCAGGTGGAGAACAGGTCTGTTGGGGAGACAGCGTCTGAATGCGTGGTGGTGTTTTATTCAGACGCTGTCTCCCCGACAGACCTGGTCTTCACCTGAGGACGGCTGCTTGCGTTGTGGCCGAAACGTCGTGAGAATTATTCTATTATGTTTTTATTATTTTATTATTTCCATTCTACGTGACTTTACCGAAAGAACCAAGAAGATGGATCCCTGCAGTCACGAAAGCTTTCAATCGAAATTTGATGTTGGGTTAACGACACATTTATGCGATCTCACCCAAACAAAAACCTTTACTGTATTAATAGGAATTGTCGCCCCCTATGGACTGATATAATGTTTGACCGATGCTTTCCCGGGTTACTAAGTCGAGTCTATAAGGCGAATACGATGGCCTACTGTGAGGATGATTTTAAATTGACGCACTAATTGTAATGCTGGTCCTTATTGTTCAACGCTTTAGTGTTCGACCGAAGGAAGACGCCGAGGACGCAATGAAGAACTTTCTGGATATCTTTAGAGGGATCTTCTGAGTTGGTCAATTGATTTTGAAACGTCTGATCGCGGTGTTCTAGTAAAATTGCGTCACTTATATTCTTTACGGATGATCACAACAGTAATTTCCGTGCCTGCAACACAACTTGTATATCTTCTTGGTTCTTTCGGTAAAGTCACGTAGAAGGGAAGTAGTAAAATAATAAAAATAAAACATAATAAAACAATTCTCACGACGTTTCGGCCACAACGCAAGCAGCCATCCTCAGGTGAATAAACAGGTCTGTCGGAAAGACAGCGTCGTGAGAATTATTTTATTATGTTTTATTATTTTATTATTTCCCTTCTACGTGACTTTACCGAAAGAACCAAGAAGATGAATCCCTGCAGTCACGAAAGCTTTAAATCGAAATACAACTTGTATAGGTCTGGTAACGTGTTTTACAATGTAGGCTATCTAATAAAAACACTTCACGGTTGCTGTTGAATATCTAATCCTCTGATTGTGTTACCAGCTGCAGTAACATGTCCTAGAGACGTAATGTCCCACAGTCGTCAAAATAAAGTCGACGTTTCCAAATATTTTTGTGCACGGAACGACGTCTCTATGAAGATTCCAAAGAACACAGGATGAGATGTTACTATCCTTTGTGCAAGCACTTCCAAGAGTTCACGAACAGCGAGCCTGGTGACATTTGGGGAGCAGATCATCAGTAGTGAACCTTTGGTTCCTAGGGTGTTTCGGCCTTTCACACGATACACCCTCCCCAAAGGCGGCCAGCGACAGGGCGATCAATCCTACGCTTGCGTCCCATTCCCAATTAGTCGTAGGAGTTGCCTTGTTGTTGGTAGCCAACATCCCATGGGACTATGCACGGCAGGGGCGTCCTCCTCCCTGAGTCAAGCATTGTTGACTGCATACCTCCTATGAAGGCATTGAGCCGGTGTAAGGACAAAGCAGATCCTCCTGTGATGGTGGAGGCGTGGAGGGGGCCTGTGGGCACAGCTCCTGTGTTGTCGGATCGAGTGTTCTCCAGCGACCTGGTAGGGCAAGAGAAGGCACGGCTCTATGGACCCGTTTAGGGCAAACTGAGTCGAAATGGATGTGGCGTGGCCAACATCGTTCCTGCTAAGAAATAAAACTGTGCACAAACGTAACAACAACAACAACCGCCATTCGCCACTAAGTGGCGGTGACGTCACCACGACGCTTGTGCCAGGCCATGTGCACCTTGAGGCTGCCACGTGAAGTGTCGAACGCCCGCTGGCAGGAGGTCACGGGGCAGACCCAGCAGGTGCCACGGTTCGACTGACCGATATGATCGAGATGACTGGCTGATGCACCACCTGTGCCCCCTACTGTGCCAACTTGCTGTGCTTTAGCCACCCGGCGCTCCGCTCGTTGTTGTGAGCGTCGCTTCTCCGCCCTCCGTTGTTGTTGGAGGGCGACTGCCTCCAAATACACACAGACACACACACACAGACACACAGACACACACACAGACACACACACAGACACACACACAGACACACACAGACACACAGACACACACAGACACACACACAGACACACACACAGACACACACACACACACAGAAACACACAGACACACACACACAGACACACACACACACACACAGACACACAGACACACACACACAGACACACACACACATACAGACACACACAGACAGACACACAGACACACACACACACACATACAGACACACACAGACACACACAGACACACACACACAGACACACACAGACACACACACAGACACACACACACAGACACACACAGACACACAGACACACACAGACACACACACACACAGACACACACACACAGACACACGGCAATCCACGAATAGATTCCGAATCTATAACAGTCGCGAAAAAGAAACCACAGTCTCTCAAATATTCTCCGACAAATAGACTGACGCGCCGTAGCACTCACTGCGATGTACCTTCACCCAACAATATCGCCATCAATGTCGCAACATTCAGTCGCCCATTGAGTAGCAGTGGCGGCTCCTGCGAAATCTCTCAGGGGGGGCAAATGTCTGGATGATTGATAAGGATAAGCTCCACCCATGCAATGGATAAATTAACAGCTTAAGCAGGTAAAGGCAACTTCGCTTCTTTAATATTAATGAAAAATAAAGTGACTCTTACAATACATCTTGTTTGTTTCTATTAATACAATCCACTCAGTTTCTTTTATTAAACATTCCACTAGGTGGCGACAAATAATACTGCTGACTGAAACGTGCTTACGTATGATGACGTAAGCACGTTAGGGCGAGCCCTCCCGGAAGCCGTAGAGAATGCTTTGCAGCGCCCGCCGTTCGAAAAAACACATCTTTGAATGTAAGTCTATGGGGCCACTCTGGGCGATTCTCAGCCGGAGTGAAATCGCCCAAAAAGAGGCGGTACTCCACAGAACGTGACATGACGCTGATTGGACTAAATCCAGAGGCTGACAGTGACGGCTAGCGTGACTCTGTGGTTGAATGACATTGGTGGTGCGTCGCCCAATCGCCCTAATGAAGAAACCGCCCCTGTGGATTCTGCGTTGGCACGTTCGGCCCAGACGATGACGACACGGGAGGTTTGGCGATCTTGTCAAGTACCTGGTCAACCAGTTGGTGAGTGTCTCGCTGTGTTGGTGGCCGACTGGTTTGCGTCACGTGATGTCTCTAAGGTCTGTTGAGTGTCTCCCGTCTTCTTGTTGCATTTGCCGTTCTCTGTGTGTGTGGGGGGGGTGGGGGGTGGGGGGTGGTGGGGGGAGTGGGGGAGGTGGGGGGAGTGGGGGGGAGTGGGGGGGGGGAGGTGGGGGGGGAGGTGGGGGGTGGGGGGTGAGGGGAGGTGGGGGAGGTGGGGGGAGTGGGGGGGGGGAGGTGGGGGGGGAGGTGGGGGGTGAGGGGAGGTGGGGGAGGTGGGGGGGAGGTGGGGGGGAGTGAGAGAGTGGGGGGGAGTGGGGGTGGGGGGAGGTGGGAGTAGGGGGGGAGTGGGTGGGGGAGGTGGGGGGAAGGGTGGGGGGAAGTGGGTGGGAGTTGGGGGGGGGAGGTGGGGGGGAGTGGGGGGGAGGTGGGAGGAGGTGGGGGGGAGGTGGGGGGAGTGAGAGAGTGGGGGGGAGTGGGTGGGGGAGGTGGGGGAAGGGTGGGGGGAAGTGGGTGGGAGTGGGGGGGGAAGGTGGGGGAATGGGGGAGGTGGGAGGAGGTGGGGGGGAGGGGGGGGAGGGGGAGTGGTGGTGCAGTGGTTAGCGTGCTGTGTGTGTGTGGTGTGTGGGGAGTGGTGGTGCAGTGGTTAGCGTGCTGTGTGTGTAGTGAGTGTGTGGGGAGTGGTGGTGCAGTGGTTAGCGTGCTGTGTGTGTAGTGAGTGTGTGGGGAGTGGTGGTGCAGTGGTTAGCGTGCTGTGTGTGTGTGGTGAGTGTGTGGGGAGTGGTGGTGCAGTGGTTAGCGTGCTGTGTGTGTGTGAGTGTGTGGGGAGTGGTGGTGCAGTGGTTAGCGTGCTGTGTGTGTAGTGAGTGTGTGGGGAGTGGTGGTGCAGTGGTTAGCGTGCTGTGTGTGTAGTGAGTGTGTGGGGAGTGGTGGTGCAGTGGTTAGCGTGCTGTGTGTGTAGTGAGTGTGTGGGGAGTGGTGGTGCAGTGGTTAGCGTGCTGGTGTGTGTAGTGAGTGTGGGGAGTGGTGGTGCAGTGGTTAGGTGCTGTGTGTGTAGTGAGTGTGTGGGGAGTGGTGGTGCAGTGGTTAGCGTGCTGTGTGTGGGTGAGTGTGTGGGGAGTGGTGGTGCAGTGGTTAGCGTGCTGTGTGTGTGTAGTGAGTGTGGGGAGTGGTGGTGCAGTGGTTAGCGTGCGTGTGTGTGGTGAGTGTGTGGGGAGTGGTGGTGCAGTGGTTAGCGTGCTGTGTGTGTGGTGAGTGTGTGGGGAGTGGTGCAGTGGTTAGCGTGCTGTGTGTGTGTGGTGAGTGGTGGGGAGTGGTGGTGCAGTGGTTAGCGTGCGTGTGTGTGTGTAGTGAGTGTGTGGGGAGTGGTGGTGCAGTGGTTAGCGTGCTGTGTGTGTAGTGAGTGGGTGGGAGTGGTGGTGCAGTGGTTAGCGTGCTGTGTGTGTGGTAGTGTGTGTGGGGGAGTGGTGGTGCAGTGGTTAGCGTGCTGTGTGTGTGGTGAGTGTGTGGGGAGTGGTGGTGCAGTGGTTAGCGTGCTGTGTGTGTGTAGTGAGTGTGTGGGGAGTGGTGGTGCAGTGGTTAGCGTGCTGTGTGTGGTGAGTGTGTGGGGAGTGGTGGTGCAGTGGTTAGCGTGTGTGTGTGTGTGTAGTGAGTGTGTGGGAGTGGTGGTGCAGTGGTTAGCGTGCTGTGTGTGTGGTGAGTGTGTGGGGAGTGGTGGTGCAGTGGTTAGCGTGCTGTGTGTGGTGAGTGTGTGGGGAGTGGTGGTGCAGTGGTTAGCGTGCTGTGTGTGTGTGTAGTGAGTGTGTGGGGAGTGGTGGTGCAGTGGTTAGCGTGCTGTGTGTGTGTGGTGAGTGTGTGGGGAGTGGTGGTGCAGTGGTTAGCGTGCTGTGTGTGTGGTGAGTGTGTGGGGAGTGGTGGTGCAGTGGTTAGCGTGCTGTGTGTGTGGTGAGTGTGTGGGGAGTGGTGGTGCAGTGGTTAGCGTGCTGTGTGTGTGTGGTGAGTGTGTGGGGAGTGGTGGTGCAGTGGTTAGCGTGTGTGTGTGGTGAGTGTGTGGGGAGTGGTGGTGCAGTGGTTAGCGTGCTGTGTGTGTGTGTGAGTGTGTGGGGAGGGTGGTGCAGTGGTTAGCGTGTGTGTGTAGTGAGTGTGTGGGGAGTGGTGGTGCAGTGGTTAGCGTGCTGTGTGTGTGTGAGTGTGTGGAGTGGTGGTGCAGTGGTTAGCGTGCTGGTGTGTGTAGTGAGTGTGTGGGGAGTGGTGGTGCAGTGGTTAGCGTGCTGTGTGTGTAGTGATGGTGGGGGGTGGTGGTGCAGTGGTTAGCGTGCTGTGTGGTGTGTGAGTGTGGGGAGTGGTGGTGCAGTGGTTAGCGTGCTGTGTGTGGTGAGTGTGGGGGAGTGGTGGTGCAGTGGTTAGCGTGCTGTGTGTGGTGAGTGTGTGGGGAGTGGTGGTGCAGTGGTTAGTGCTGTGTGTGGGTGTGTAGTGGTGGGGGGGTGGTGCAGTGGTTAGCGGCGTGTGTGTGTGTGGTGTGTGGGGAGTGGTGGTGCAGGGGTGGTTCGTGCTGTGTGTGTGGTGAGTGTGTGGGGAGCGGTGGTGCAGTGGTTAGCGTGCTGTGTGTGTGTGGTGAGTGTGTGGGGAGCGGTGGTGCAGTGGTTAGCGTGCTGTGTGTGTGTGTAGTGAGTGTGTGGGGAGCGGTGGTGCAGTGGTTAGCGTGCTGTGTGTGTGTGAGTGTGTGGGGAGTGGTGGTGCAGTGGTTAGCGTGCTGTGTGTGTGTGTAGTGAGTGGGGAGTGGTGGTGCAGTGGTTAGCGTGCTGTGTGTGTGAGTGAGTGGTGGGGAGTGGTGGTGCAGTGGTTAGCGTGCTGTGTGTGTGGTGAGTGTGTGGGGAG